AACCTTTTCAGCTGAGGAGGCCAGCCTATGCTTAGAGCTAACCAGCGCTCATCCTGAGCTTTTTGACATGAGCATGCAACATGGGATAGCCTAAGTGACAGATTACCTCTCCCTGGCATGTACATTGTAGGGTACAGTGGTATCCCTTTGCTGTAACCATCCCTGGCAGGTGCCAGGCAACCTTATTTGGTGTACAGCTTGCTGAGATTTTTCACTCTAGCCAATTCAGACAGTTTACTTTATCCTGCTCCCCTTTCTGCAGAGATGCCACAGAGGCTCTCTCCTGTTCCTGCCTAACCACCCTTAGGTTCCCCTCATAGCCATATATGGGGAGCCTAGCCTCTGTCTCTAGGGCTGTAAGGATAATACACTTGCATTTCCCACTTGTGCCTGCTCTTGACCTAAAAGAACATAGAATACTTCAAAGTATCAGTTACCAACAAGTGTAAACTCTCTGCTGCCATATAAGGCATCTGTGTTATGAGCAATTTTCATCTATTTACTGGGACAGATAAACCCCAAGTTCACAACATCCTGATCTTTGGAAGGTGAAGGCAGAGAGAGAACTACACACTAGTGTGGGACGGGAGAGGGGGATGAGGAGGGTGGGGTAGAATGTCAGATAGAGAACAGGGTGGGGAGCAGACGAGAATATAAATCTGAGAGCAACACCGCAATGAAATGAAGTCACATATCCAAATATGACTGTAGAGCCATGAAGGTGTCCACAGAATCACAGAGACTGCTATAAAGAGGAACGCTGGCTTCGATTTAACCATCATTGCATCTATTCTCATTAGACATGCTTAAGTGCTGGCACTGGAAAATTCTACAGGGCACAGATGTTGTTTGTTAGGCAAAATTGTCATTGCAGACACTATGATATATTGAAATTTGCAATCACTTAAGTTAGCCAAGAGTACAGTCACTTCTTGGTGAACATTAGGGATTCTTGCTATACCCACACCAGCAGATGCTCAGATGCCTTACATCAAATGGCTAGTATGTGCACATAGGCTACACACACTTCCGATATACTTCTAATAACCTACAGGTTACTTACAGTGCCTAACACACTGGGGATGTCATGGAAGTACTACAGTGACTACTATAAGCTTATATTTGTATTATTTTTTAATTGTTGCTATTTGACTTTGAATTTCAACCTTCAAAATTATGAAAAATAAATTTATTTTTAAAAGATTTCTTAAAATTTATTTAGTGTGTGTGAGTGTTCTGTCTGTATGCATGCATGTGTGCCATGTTCATGTCTGGTGTGGTCAGAAGAGGGTGACAGATCCCTGAAATTGCAGTTGCAGATAGTTGATCCTATGCATAAGTAATACATGTTCTTACCCACTGAGCCATCTCTCCAGACCTGCAAAATTAATTTTTGCTGCATAGGACCATCTAGTCTATATTAATTATGATGGCAGCCTGAGCAGGCTAATGTAAGTTATGAAAAGAAGCAGCTCTTATAATTACAAATTGGATGTAAACACACAAAAATTAGAAACCAAGAAAGCTGGTGATTTACCAGCTGTGTAACCACAATCAATATCTTCATATTTTTTGGTCATCTTCTGTGACAAGGAGGTAGGAATGAGACTGATTTGTACCTCAAGGTCTGAATGGTACCTAGTAACGTTCTCAAGCAACCATATTGCTTGCTAGCTGCCCAGTTGCTACCCAGACGTGGTGGTCAGGTCACGAATCTGTGACGCCATGAATTATTCTTTATTCATTTCCCACATATGGGGTGCCTGCTCCTCACAGGTTGCTCATTCAGAAGGTATTGGTCAGTCATGGAATGTTTAACATGTAGATCCCAGGTAAGGATACTTAGGGAGGCAACTGGTGGAGCCTTGGAAAGGTGGGAGACAGGGTCCCTGGGGGCAGCATCCATCCTTCCAGTTAGAACCCATTTTGAGACTCATTCACCTTGGATCACATCCACAACACAGGCAACCCCACTGGATGCAGGCAAGACTCCAATGCCCAGCAACTCCCAACCCTGTTTCATGTGCTGCTAGGCAGGCTGGTGATGAGATGAAGAGGAGGAGGAGGGAGAGGACAACAAGAACACAGAAAGAACGAGGGCTGCTCTCCACGCGACTGAAGAACTGAGAGTTGTATGATATACATTCCCCAAGTCCACTGTGGTTTTCCTGATGAAGTGGAAGTGAATCCTACAGGAGAGAGAGTTCTGCACGCCACTTTCTGATTGGGAAGTTGGATACTGCTTCTGTTCAGGCTACATTTCCTCCACCTACCCACTTTTTAAAATCATGCTTGGTGTCTTTCAATGGTCCAGCATTTTCTTTCAAACACAGAGAACAAAAGTGAGAATACACTAGCCACTCATGAGTCTTAATTTAGAGCTCTGGAATTCATAGTTGATTAATTCCTTCTGACATGGCCCAGATGTCTCTAGAGCAATTAGTAACAGAATGGGGTTAGCAGAGCTCTTCATGGTGATGCAGATTCATTATGACTGATTGCTCATTTATGAAAATTAAGCAAGTCTAACGGAGTTTAGACCCAAAAGGGTGGCCCTAGCTTGACAGTCCCTAGACACCAACACCTCTCCCAATCTTATCTTTACCATATTTAGGAGACAACCACACACAAGAAAAGGCTGCAATGTATTTTTATGCATTTGCTACAAGTTATGCAGTGCTAATGCTTACAAACCATATAGATCACGCAGAGAGATCTTTGGTCCCTCGTGCACTGGCTCCTATGCACAGCTGGCCCACTCAAGCTCCTGAGCTCACAATGATCACGCAGAGAGATCTTTGGTCCCTCGTGCACTGGCTCCTATGCACAGCTGGCCCACTCAAGCTCCTGAGCTCACAATGAGGCTGCCATGTTATTTCCTCTACTAGATAACTAAATAGAGTATGTTGTGCATTAAAATTTCTATAGCTATTCTTGCCTATCTTTCTTCCTTTGCCAGTGGATTCTTGCCAGGTTGTAAGAGAAGTTTTCCTGGCTCAGACAATTCCTTTCAATGCTACTAGTAATTCTGAGGTGCATAGCCCCCAGTTAACTTTGTTGGCTTCTGACATACACCTTCAACCTTTTCCTATATATGTTTATTCTACATAGTGACCCAGGAAGGGTTTTTTTTTGTTTTGTTTTGTTTTTCTTAAGACTGGGCCTCACTATATAGTCCTGGCTGGCCTGAAACTTTCTACATACACCAAGCTAGCCTAAGTTCAGAGAGATCTTCCTGCCTCTGCCTTCTAAGTGCTGGGATTAAAGGCATATGCCACCCACCATGCCTGTCCTCCAGGAAGATGATTATTTTTGTTTTATTTTATTTTTTTTGTTTTGGCTTGGTTTGGTTTTTCAAGATGGGGTTTCTCTGTGGCTTTGGAGGTTGTTCTGGAACTAGCTCTTGTAGACCAGGCTGGTCTCAAACTCACAAAGATCTGCCTGTTTCTGCCTCCCTAGTGCTGGGATTAAAGGCGTGTGCCACTCCACTACCCACCGGCCTAGGAAGATGATTTAAAGGCTCATTGCATCATAGCATCCAAAAACCTACAACCTTGCTATTCTAGGGAGTAAAATACAAATCTTTGCTGCCAACTACCCAGTGAACCCTGTCTCTAGGTGGTTGTGGTTTTAATTAAACCCTTAATGGTGTCTTTATCCCAGTTGAGCCACTGAAGTGACCTTTCCCAGAGTCTTCTTCCAGGGAATCCCTTCCCCAATTTTCTAAAAATGTCCATTATGTGAATGCCAACAGGGCTTCAGTCTTCTTCAGGGACTTTTTGTGAGGCTGCACTGAACCATGGCTCTTCTCCAAACGGCATTTGTTCGAGCACTCTAATACAGTCACTCCTTGGTTTCTGTAGAAGCTTGGCTTAAGGCTTCCGTAGACACCCAAATCCATGCATGTTCAAGTCCCTTCTACAAAACAGCACATGGTATTTGCATAGACCCTACACATACCTCCCCTATACTTTAAATATACTGCCTAATTCAATGATTATATCATAATGGCGAAATGCAATTTCATTACACACCCAACTCCATACCTGTGCATACACTCACTAACCACACAGAGTGAAGGTACCTTAGTAATGCAGAAATATTAAACTACACAAAATAGGGATGTCCTATGATATTTTATTGAAAGAGAAATCACTTACGTGAAAAGTCAAGAAAGTCGAGAACCAAAGGTCTGCACACTGCTCTCCAGGAGGAAACCGGAACCCAAAGAGAGTGAGTCCCCCCCCAACTCTGTTTATCCCCTGTATGTTCTGCATAACCATGAACACACCCACACGGGAGTGGTCAGCGGTATGGATATGTAAAATCTCTCCTTACTCCTTAGTACCTCTGCTAAGCCTGTACTTCCTCAACATAGCTCAGGCTATATAGGTTTCATATAGCTCAGGCTGACCTTGGACTTGCTAAGTAATCAAAGGTGATATTGAGCTCCTGATCTCTGCTTCCACCTCTCAAGTGATGGAATTACAGGAATGTACCACCATGCCTAGCTTCTTTCTTTTTTAAGAGAACTGACAGTAAGCGAATGACATTAGTTTTAATTGCAGAAATATCCTAGACTTTAGATCAATAACTTACAAACATTTAAAGCCTTAACAGACTCATTATGAAGAAAGCAAAGCAGTTTTCTTCGCCTGTGTAAACATTTTGACGGGGATTCTAATTCACCCAGATGGGCAATAATCTTGAATCCATCACATAAATATAATGTACATATTTACAGATACACATATGACAGATAACACCGAAGGATCTTGGCATCTGGCTGGCAATTGCATATCAAATGCTTCTTGACACAGTGACATAAACTCTGGTCGTGATCTCATGTACCAACACACACATACAAATACCCAAACACCCCGTGGGGTCATCTTCCCAGAGATGCCCTATTCAGACTTCAGATAAAAAGAACCAGAGAGAGAAAAACTATCCCATGAAGGGAGGGAGGGGCTGTGCACCTCAGAAGATGGTGGACTTACCTGTTAAGTGGTTGGCAATCCGGGCAGTGGGTTTGGGAGGCAGGGCCGGGGGCTGCTTGAGAAGGGACAACTGCTTCACTGGGGTCTCCTCATGGTCTCCAGAGAAAGCAGCAGGTTTTTTGGGGGGCAGGAACAGAACTGGTTTGGCTGAAGGATCTTGGGACAGGAGGACTCCAGACTCACTGGCAGAGGGACTCTCTTGAGACACTGAGGGGACAACCACATGATACACAGGAGACATTACACAAACGCAGTGCTGGCCAGCCAGGGACACAGGACAGGGACACTGGCAGCCCAACAAGACAGCAGAGTGCCACCCGCTGTAGGCCATAATGGGCACACACAGAGAGAGCTAAAGCAAGGACAAGAAAAATCCAATAAAGCAGGTGGGATGAGGGGGGAGGGGCAGAAAGAGGAGGCAAAGGAAGAGAGGGGAGAGATGAAGAAAGAGCAAGAGGGCAAAGGGGCGGGGCAAGGGCATTTCTTCATGAAAAGGTCACCACTTCAAACTGAACCTGCATCATCCAGAGTCTACAGATGCTCTGCCATGTGACTCGGGAGACCATACGCACAACTAACAGGACCATGAGTAGCACGGGGAATTTGAGTCCCCTAAACTGAACATGAAGGGCCAGCACCTTTCCTTGGGTTCCTGAGTTCTTCCTTTGTTGAGGGAAGAGAGATGGACCACAAATTGGTGGTAAGTATTAGTGTTATCCACTGACTGGGTCTGCTCACTGGTCTCGGATACCAGGTGGCAGCCGGCAAGGTTGTCATTAGCAGGGTATGCACACAGGCTTTGGTGGTTGTCGCTCTAAGCTCTGGAGTGGTCAGGACTGAGAGCCAGGCTCTCAATGAGGACTCTAGCTCTGAGGACACATTCTTGCCCTGCCTGGCCCTATAAATTCTCACAAGGCAGAGGGTGTGCAAGGGTTACACCTTTTTATTTGTCCTATTCCTTCACTTCCTGCTTGCCAGACTTCTGGTTGTCGTCTTTACTTTTTCCCTTTTTTCCCCCCCCAGGGTCTCATACGTTCTAGGCTGGTTGACCTTGGACTTCCAGTTCTCCAGCTTCTCTCTCCTGAGTGCTGGGATTGCACAGCATGTACCACCCTGCCTTGGAACTAACTCGGTACTTGGTACTAGGGATTGACCCCAGGTCATCGTGCATCCTAGGCAAGCACCATAACACCCAAGTCACATCGTAGCTCCCACTGTCTTGTTTCAACTCTCCCCCATCTCTTTACTTGGACCTGACTCTTCTTTTTCCCCCACAGGAGCCTCCTGATAGGTTCCTTTGCTGAGTTGCCATGAGGTGGCAGCCTACTGCTTCCTGCTGTGCTGGCAACCTGGGTAATATCCGTAAAACCCTGGGACTTGGCTGGGGTGGTAGATTTCGCTAGAAGAGGCTAACTGCAGATTCTAGTGGTACGAGGGAAGTTGAGTTGAAAATTGAAAATTCAGTGTTTTTGTTGGGAAAACTTCTAAAGGCAAAATAGAGTTCAACTGTTTGTCCCCCTGCCTTCCACAACTGCCAAAGGAGACAGTTTATAAAGATTCTTCCACTTTCTTGTCTTCCTTCTCCCATGGAGAAAGTAATGTCTACATAGCAGCACAGCCCTGCAAAGAACCCTTGACATGCTGAGTTTTCTTCACCTCAAGGGACATTGTTCTAATCAGCGCTCAACAATAGCTGGCCAGGCACTGTCGTGAAGCGTGAGAACCGACTTGGGGAAAACTACCTCTCTCCCCTGCTCTCACATGAATAAAGGGTGCATGAAGATGCTGCACCTGGCAGTACCAGGACTGTAGCCTGTCAACCACACCCCAGGTAGTCCCCGAGGCTCCTTCCCCAGCCCATCTGACAGGTGCTGCTACTCTCTGTTGGTAGGGACTCACCTTTGGGCTGGTAAGGAGGGCTCTGCACCTCCTGAGAGAGGCAGATTGGCCACTGGGGTGACAGTGGGCCAAAGGGGGGGCAATAATAAGAAGGCATGCAAACTCATCTACAGGCAGGCTCCAGCTTAGCTGGGAAATTGTATACAGTTTAACAAATACATTGATTGGCTATATCCAGTAAATTTACTAAACTGATATAATCACTGATGAGTCTGTTAGGACTAGAAATTAAATAGTGTAGCCAGGCCTTTGGGACAAAAGGATTAGATAGGTTGAGAGAGGAATGGGATTCTTTTGATTTGTCTTAATGAAGATGATGTTAGAAAACAAGCACTACTTTACACCATCAATATTATAAGATAAGTTATAATACCTTTAAAGTGACTTCAGTCACAAAAGTGCTTTTTACAAACTATAAAACATTATGTGAAAATAGCATCCACATTTTCTTAGACTCAGTTATGTACATAAAACTATGACACTAGTTTCTCTCACATATAAAGCTTAAAATGGGTATCCCAAGTCCTACCAGGAGACTGTAACATCCTGGAGACCCACCCCATGCCTCTGTCAGGTTATTACCTGGTCCATCCATGATATCTGAAGCTTGGAGCACCTCAAATGAGCAAGGGTCCCTGGGCATTGGTACAGGCTCCATTTCTGACAGGGCAGGCAAAGACAGTTGGCTGGAACTCAGGGACTGTCCATTCTCCAGGGAGTCGTCTTCATTTGAAATGGAGAGCTCTCCATCTGTGGGTGAGAAGAAGATGGTAGGATCAGACAAGGTGTGTCGTCATGGTAACACTCAAGGCTGCTAACAAGTCTAGGTGCTCTGAACCATCTTTATCAAGGTCAGTATCTGCACTTGACAGCAGCTCTTTGATTTTAAAAGATGCACCTTTAGAGAGAGCCCATATGTTTCTGGAAAGTACTTTTCAGCCATTCACAGCAACTTGTCTGTTTTCTTTCCATCCTTTCCATCCCAGTTCATCTTGTGTTCTATGTGTGTAAGTATTTTTCCATTTAGAAGGCTTACTGAATTTTTAAATTATATGTAGTTGCATCTATACGTAGTATGGTGGTTTGAAAGAAAATGGCTCCCAAAGGGAATGGTACGAATGGGAAGTGTGGTCTTACTGGAGTAGGTGTGGTCTTGTTGGAGGAAGTATGTCACTGTGGAGGCAGGTTTTGAGGTATCATATATGCTCAAGCCACACCCAGTGTGACAGTTCACTTCCTGTTGCTTGCAAGATATAGAACTCTCAGCTACCTCCCCAGCACCATGTCTTCCCGCCCACCACCATGTCCCACCATGATGATAATAGACTGAGCCTCCTAACTGTAAGTGAGCCTCCACAATTAAATCTTTTCCTTTATAAGAGTTGCTGTGGTCATGTGTCTCTTCATAGCAAAGAAACCCTAATTAAGACATGCGAGCATGTGCATGTGAGTAGAGGTGTTCTATGAGGCCAGAACATGGTATCATGACATGAGCTGTACCTCTCTGCAGCTGTGGTAAGAGCTGTAAGCCTCCCAGTGCAGTTGCTGAGAACTGAAATCAGGTTTTCTATGAGCTCTTAGCCATCAAGCCTCTCTCTAGCCCTGACTTTTTTCTTAATAAAAGTGAATGAAAATTGCTTTTTCCTTTTAATTTTTAAAATCTGTAGAAATTTAGCAGGCCATGGAGACAGAAAGAGCTAAGACTGCGAATTTATACATTAGGGAACAAACATTGCCAAGGCTATTGGTGGCTTTCTACAAACTGACAGTAAGGCCCTATTGGTAAGGACAACACCTATACAAATCATTGGACATGGAGAAGCCAAGTTGGTGCCTACCTAGAGCCTTCACCTCCATTGGATAGTATTTGTGGTATTGGAAATGCATGCTACCAAAGGAAAAAGGTAAACACCAACCCAGCTAAAAAAGTCCTTCAATCTATAATGGTGACCTTCCCGTAAGACACGCTGAAGCAATAGTGGCACAAAGCTTGTGGGAGAAACCATCCAAAATCTGATTTGAGATAAGGCCAACTCCAAGAGATAGAACCCATACCCAGTGCTACTTGGGTGGTCAAGAACATGAGACTAGATAAGCCAGGGCCTAGGGAAAAACCAGATACTATTGTTCTGCTAAAGGAACGTAGCAATAAAATGATTTGTAATAACTTTCTGCTGTATGGATAGATCTGACTCTCATTCAGTCATTATCAGAGACAGTTCCTCCTGCAGCAGATGGAAGCAAATACAGAGACCACAGCCAGACAATATATGGAAAGTGAGAGATCACTGAACACTAGCCCTAAAAGGATGTTACCATCAAATCCTTCTTCTCAGAGCTTAGGGAACACTTTGGAAGAGGAGGCAGGAATAGTATAAGAGCCAGAGGAGATGGAGGACACCAAGGTATCTAGACCTTATAAATAGAACAGGACTGACACACATATGAACTCACAGAGACTGAGATAGTGTGCACAGGGCCTGCACAGGTCTGCACCAGATGTGGTCCTAGAGCAGAAAGACATGGACACACGCTTCCATCCCTGACACAGAAACCATGTCCAATTGATTGCCACTTGGAAATGAAAGATTTAAGCTTTGTTCAAGGAAATCTCACTTAGAGAAACAAACCACTCATAAGGGTAGGCTCCATGCCCACTAGTAGGTGGCCAACACAGTACTCATTTGCATCTTATGAGGATTTGTCTCATAAAGCTGTTGGGGCATTTTCCCCTCCTCAACTTCTAGTTTGAGGTTTTTAATGGGCTTTCTGTGTGTGTGCAAGTGTGTGTCTCTGTGTCTATATGTGTTTCTTGGGCTTTCTCTTTGCCTCTCTTTGTTGTCTGGTTGTTTTGTCATATTCCAATTTGTGTGCTCTTGATTTATTTTATTTTTATTCCTTAGATACCTATTTTATTTTATTTTCTAACTAGAGACATAAAGGTATTAATTCAGGTGGGAGAAGAATATATTGTGTGAAAAATAAGAACAAAGCCAAAACCAAAATCCAAAAAACATTAGGAAACAAAGAAGCAGTGAGGACATGCAACTCCAGGTCCAAAGAAGATCATTCATCTCTTTACTTCTGTCCTCACCCAATTCTTGAGGTGAGTAAGTATTAAAGAAAATCTATAATCCCTACCTAAGAGGCTGTGGCAGCCCAAGGCAGCTGGGAAGTGCCAGAATCCTTTTGGTGCCAACCACCAACCATGTCAGCTTTGATTTGCATGAAGCTCAGTCCCTCAAAGGGTAGATTTGAGGATGAAAGACTCCCATTCAATGGCCATTTGTTAAATCAACCCCCCTAGCATGATTTCATCTTCACCCAGGGAGTCTTAGATAGCTAAACATTAAAACCAAATTAATTTTTCAAGAGGATGTAAAGCTCTTTAAATCAGATGAATAAACACCCAGATGAAAGATAAAGCCGTGCCCACTCAGGAACAGAGCCCTGCAAAACAGCGAGCTGACTTAAAACTGAAGAGAGTTGTAGAAATAAAGGCGATCTGAAACCGAGGTGAGTCTTGCCTTCCACTATATTCCTCTCGATGTTTTGATTTTGTACATCTATGATATCTGATAGCACTGAAATCTTTCACACCACCCCATTAGAACTGCTCAAGTAATTTATTAAGCCATCAGGCTGTAAGTAGTACATGGTTCAAGGACCTATAGTGTTTGATATGGATTATCTATAAACACTAATATATTCATTGAGGCAGACAGTCACACACAATCACACAAAATACTGGCCTTTGAAGGTTAGGTTGGATCTCTTTATCTTCTTTTCATTCAACCTTTCTGCACACCCTAAATAGTAGCAGATGTTATCATCATGGAGATGAAAGACACAGTAACTACTTGTTAAGAACACAAGATCAGGGCAAGACCTTAAAGCCAATGCTGTGGAGATTACAGCTGAACTGCAAAGCTGCAGGGGTGTGGAGAGCTGTGCTGTGTTAATGTGACCTTACAGTACCCCCAGTCATCTCAACATGCTTCTATTTACCACTTCCAAATTGCTATCCTGGGAAGTTGCTCTGCTGATTAGTGGGATGATGACATGGTGTCATTTGGTTTGGACACATCTCCGGGAGGCCACTGTGATTCTTGATGTTCATGGCCCTTGAGTATACTCATGGCTCTTGAGAAGACAATCCAAAGAGGATAGGGTTTTAATGCAACCATTAAGTGTTGGATCACTGATGCTGTTGAATGATGGTTGCCTGATTTAAGAGTTGAGAGTACTGCACAGGTAACTCTGGGTCAAAAGATGCAGCTGCAGCTGGATTTCTCTGGTTTCATTACAGAAGCCAGTTTACATTCTTGCTAGGAAATTAGCTAACTGAGAAGCCTGTGGCTCCCATCTCTTGGGACGTCTTCGCTCTCTCCAACTGGGGCTCCTTGTGGATGAAAAAGGGCCTTTGCCAGGTTGCTAAGTCCCAAGTTACTTTGCAGAGGGATCAGTCTAGGGAATTTCATTGTTGTAACTAATAAGGACACGTTTCCATTGAAAAAAATTAAAAAGGGACAAAGAAATAAAAAATGTTGATGACACCCCTAGTCAGTACCTAAAAGAAACAGTGTCTTCTTTCTGTGAGTATTTTACATGACTGTAATCCTATTATGTTTCAAAATTTTGTGTGTTGGGTCTGGAGAGATGGCCCAGTGGTTAAGAGCACTGGGTGTTCTTCCAGAGGACCCAGGTTCAGTTCCCAGCAGTCATACAATGGCTAACAATAGTCTGTAACTCCCTCTTCTGGCATCTGTGGACACTTCATGCATGCAGGCAAACCACCAACACACATTAAAAAAACTTTAAAGAACTCTGTCTTGTTTTTCAATCTTACTATTATGATCTCAATAGCAATTATACTAGATATTTACTTAGCTTTCTCCCTCACATCCTTACCAAGTATTAAAAATTCCCAACTAATTGCTTAGCTTGAAGGTAGTAGTATAGTACATGATGTTGGCTGTACAATTTCCATTTAAATATACATTGTAAAATGTAATAATGAACATATTTAAGTCATAAAGGTATTTTAAGTGTTTTATACAATTATGAAAAATAGCTGAGACCATCTTATATAGAATTTTCTGCAATTAGAATTCTAATGTCTGATTTTTGTGAAGTTATCTAAAGACTTTTCTACTTTTACAGTTATCAGCAATTTTTAGAACAATACAGCTTAGTTTCCGGGAAGTTCTTCAATATCAACAATGTTAACTATATCAAATGAGCTACCTATCTAACCCTACTCCATATATTCATCTACTTACCTATTCACCCAGCATCTATCCATCTTTCCTTCCATCCATCCATCTATCCATCCATTTATCCATCCATCCATCCATCCACAAGTTTATCTACATAGAGACACATTTATATACAGATTTAGTAGAAATGAAAACTATTCAATAGACATGATCAATTCATTATCTTTTTCATGACCAAGGTGAGTAGTTATAGAAGTGAGAACCATTTTATTTGGATCAACTCATGTTGTTTGAGGAGTGAATATGGTAAAAATATACTGCATATATATGAGATTTTTCAAACAATAAATAAATATTATATTAAATAATTCATGCTGCTATTTCTTAAAGACGCAAATATTTCGTTATTACATTTTATAGCACATGCTAAAATGAAATAGTTCAACCAACATCATACACTATACTATCTTCAAGCCAAATAATTAGCTGGGAATTTTTAATGCTTGGTAGGGATGTAAGAGCAATCTGACT